CTCCCCGTTGGGGGAGATGGGCGGCATACAAGTTTAATAATAAATAAATAAAATAAATATTTTTTAAGAAATGTGGCTAAGAGGTACAGTAGACAAAATAAAGGTAGAACAACACCACCAAAATGAATGGGGCAGGGAACTTTTTTGATTAATATGGTGAGATTAGTAGATTGAAGAGTGGGATTTACTGATCTTAAACAAAAGCTTGCATACTACTTTTTTCTTTTACTGATGGTAAACTACATTGTTTCTCAGCAATTTGCTATCAGAATTTGGTAGTGCAATTTCAGAGGGCTGCAAAAAGGGAGCTGGGGGTCAACACCCCACCCAAGCAGCAGATTGTCCCTCCCTGCTTTTTATATGCTTGTTCGCTTCCAAAGTGCATCTGGATGTAGAATTTACACCTCCCCTTCCCTACAACCTCCTCTTCCCTCTAGAGTTAGAATTACTAAGTATATTTAGAATTGGCCTGTCTCTTAAAGGGACATGTCTTCTTGGCTTTTATTTTGTAGGCAACTGGAATTATTTTGGCTGGGGAGATCAACAAAGTAAGTATGCAATCCTGACCCTATACCCTCCGGCTTCACTATTCTTAAATATTTTCTTACTACTTCTACTTCAGGGGGAGGAGGTGTGGGTCAAATCTTAACATGGCCCTCCTTTTCATCTGGAGGTCAAGAGGCGAAGCAGATATTTTCAGTTAGCAAACTGGAGCAACAGTGGCAATAAAATTTTTTGCATAGTTTCAGGTATTCAAATCATATACCTTTAAAGCTAGAATAGCCTCAAATACTGCTTGTGATTTAGGCTCTCGAGTCTTAAAATTCTACCCTCCGGAAGCCTTTGCTCTCAGTGTTGTTACTGACTAGACTCCAGATACAGAGAGTGAACTGGAGGGAAAGTACTTACCTAAAGTTATTTAGTGCATTCAATGCAGTGATTAAATTTGAATTGGGGGCTTTCTGACGTTAGGATTACATGAATAGATGTGAGTCGTTCCTCCTTTGGGGCTTGTCTGAGGCTAGAACTATTGATGACTAGGAACCATGGCTGGGTTTAGCCAACATTTTAAAAATTAATTAATTGACTGATAAACTGCATTAATCCATTTTCTATATTAATCTAACCAAGTCTAGCCTGTTGTGCAAATGCAGTCTTTAAGTCCTTAACTGACTTGAGGCATTGGATGAACCCAGCAGCTTTCCTTAAATTGTATCTACCTACTATATTTGGGCTGTTCATTGTCTAAGACAGTATTTCTCAACCTTGGGAACTTTAAGATGTGTGGACTTCAACTCCCAGAATTCCCCAGTCAGCAAGGGTGGGTGGGGGGGTTTGGGGGGTTTAGTTCCACAAAACTTAAAT